CTAAAATGATCGAATTAGGTAATACAACCTGTACAAATACAAAATATTCGTCTGAAATGCACACTACAAAGTGTATAATAATAAAAATGTTAATAACGTAGTTCCTCGTTTTTTGTTTACCTATAACAGTTGATCCAATTTGTAGAATAAAATCGAAAGAATACCAAAAATCATTGATAAACAAATTACTCTACTATTTACGTTGTGATTTATACAATGTATAATTCCGAAGTTGAATTAACTAAATCGATCATAATTTGCTCGAAAATGTTTACACGTTACATGGATCGAGATTGTAAGAGACACGTGATTAATTATTATCGCGCAGACTGCAAGGTACCAGTAAGAAATCCCGATCAATTACGTATGCGTGTTACGTATTCTTCGTATCTTAACACTAGAACTACCAAACCAGTCAAAATGACCCATTTGTAATTTCAAATAAAACCTGTAAAAAATTTACTCGAATTTTTGGAAATTTACCGTAATTTTCTATATGAAAATGAATAAACACTTATTTCCATTGCATTATACATTTCTTCACGCACCTATCGTTTCAATTTTCTTGGTACAAATAAACACACTATAATTGTCGATAGTTCTAGTGTTAAAGATCTATTTTTTTTATTCACTGGAGTTGGAAGTATTTAAATAATTCAACCTTCCAGTGTTTCACTATTAAGAACAATACAACTCCAAAACTAGCCATTTTCAAATATGGTTTCCAAACTTGCTCCGTTTTCGAACTCACTGATTCAATTATGTTCGCCGAATATTCAACTCATTATTCGAATATTCGAACACGGAAAACTCGAGAAATAGTCCCAACCCAGCTCGTCAGCACGCGTATTTTTAGCTTTATAAATATTGACAAGGAAAATGTTCAGAAAAAGAGAAACGAACGGAGCGAAACTATCGAAGAATACATTTACTGTGCTTTAACGATTTAACGATTTTCGCGAATTTGGAGTACCTGCGATTTGGCGAGGCAAGTCAACGGTTATGTTGTATGTACACACTGTATCTTAAAACACGTATATTTTGAAATGTCAGATAACTTGGTTGAGATAACGCGAGAGGTAAAAGTGTAATCGATGAAACTGGAACGAGTAATACGTACTTTTAAAGTAATTACGAAACGAGATAAATGAGTCAATTTTTTTTTTTTAATGTCGTGGGTTTCAGTTTCAAATACAATTAAGCTAACGGTTAATTTCAATCGCAGACCGATATCGCTTAATTTATTTTTAACCGACTCACGATCAAGACGAGACTTGCATATATCTTTAATTGGGTTTCGAGTCTTGCAAAAATAATCGCGCAATATATTCGACCGTATCTACGATCACGGAAACGTAAAACAATATTTTTGAATCGACTGAAACTTTAGACGCCGTTTTAATTTTAAAATTAATTTTTTTTTTATTATTTAATAATTTTTTTTGAAACCACAAGATTATCACCAGCACTATCGACAATTATAGTGTGTTTATTTGAACCAAAGAAATTAAAACGATAGACATATGAAAAAAAGTATGATGCAATAGAAATAAGTGTTTATTCATTCTCATATAGAAAATAACAGTAAACTTTCAAAAATTCAGGTAAGTAAATTTTTTACAGGTTTTATTTGAAATTACAAATGGGTCATTTTGACTGGTTTGGTAGTTCTAGTGTCAAAGAAGAACGACTCCAATAATTATGCATGGAATGGAATACCGATAATACGTCATTTTCCTATAAATAATTTAGGTAGGCGTTACTAAGGTTAGGTACTCCGCAGTTAATACATTATATACTTTCCAGATATTACATGCTACGAACAAATTTCCAAAATTAGAGTACTCCATTATTAAATAAGAATAAAGTTTAAAAACCGTGTAGCGTTGCAGTATTTATTTTAATGTTTTTGATCACTATAAACCCCTTCAGAAACAATGTTTTTGATTCCTAGAATTTGAAATATCATTTCTGCAGAAAGCACTCACTGTGATCGTAAACGTTATAATAATAAATAGTCTCAGGATACACAATTTGAGTTATTTCTTCTTTAAAGAACGTGATTCACAGTTCATGTTTATAGCCGGAGAACTTGATTTATAGTTGCACAGTGTCAGTGAAGAAAATATTTATAACTTACAATTCACTGAATTTGCATTTTATAAATGGTCTTCGAATTGTGTACGTTTTGCAAACGAAGATCCTCGCGAGAAGCAATTATGGATCTTTTCAATGCCGATCGACGAATAGATAAAAATTTATCCATAATCTCTCGGTTGTATCGTTAAGCGATAACAGCTTCCGCGAAACATCTGCATTTAAAGTCAGAAAGCATCGTTTGCTTGGACCGTGCAGTTCTACTGCGTGCAGAGGAAACTGTTATTATTAATAATTTACAAAAACAACGTTAAAACGCGATGCACTGTTAGAAAATAATTTGTACCGACTATAATCCATAAACAATAATCGATATGTTTCTGCTACGAGCTTGTCGGTTTCATTTCGTAAACCTGAAGAGCACCGTAGAGGAATGTCGAAACGTTTAAGTTTCTAGAAGAAGCCTCTAATATAGCAACGAATAACTTTCGAGGTTCCTTTTAAGCAACGTGCATTAGGGAAACGAGAACATACTCGGAATACTATGATAATAGATGCTCGGTTATAGCGACGAAGAGTGCAAATAAAATAAACTCCAGGTTCCAAGAGATAGCGCTGCTCTCCGCGCGATGCAACTTCGAACCACGTGTAGTTCCACAAAAGTGCAAAGCGAATCGAAGTTCCCCGAGTTGCGTTTAAAAAAAAACATACACACACACACGCACATCGTGCACACATATATTTGCAACCAGCACGTCTCACGGCCATCGTCGTATCGGAATCGTACGCAATTGAGAATTATCACGTTCGTTTCAGTCGATTAATCGCCGATGAAAAATAGTAGAAATCGATTGGAACACATAAGTGTCAACTGTATAAATTCAAATAGAAGCAACGGGGCACCATTCGTGAACGATATATTTTTCCAGCGTCCAGCTATACAGTTTTCGTATTTCTCAGTGTCAAATGACGAACTAAAGCGAACATGAATATTTCTAAAAATACTCGAATTAGGAATTAATTTCGAAACATTATTATTCGACTATTCGTGTACTCCAATTTTACATACGTATAAAAATTTATTTGTGGATTACTTAGCCACAACTACGTACACAAAATTACGATTACTATTTTAATCGTGGTCAGGTGCAACGCACAGCAAATAGAGAATCGCGTGTGATCGAGACCGATCGTAGACGAAGAATATAACGTTAATAAATATAGCAATTTACTTGTACTTCACGGTTTTACCATCCAGCCAGTTCGAGTATTCTAATGATAATCGCCGAATATTGGAATCGCAGAAATAATCGAGTATTGAAAAATTTGATAAGAAATAACCAGCCTTAACTGAAAGCCGCGAGAGAGCACGAGGAAGTGCGTTGCACCTCGAACACAAAGTAAACAAAGGAACCGAGAGATCGCAATAAGGACGTGTTGCTTGAAATCGACATACCTTTCGAAGAAACGAAATCGAGGAAAGTTACGGTGTAGAAGCTGCTCCTCGCCGATAGGATTCTGCGTCAGGAAGACCGGATCGACTTTCACGATCAACGCGAAATTCCTTCTTCCTCGGTTTCTCGGTATTTTCTCCTGCGTCGGTGGTGCCCGGTCGACCATACACTGCGCGTACAGGTTCGTCCTCGCGGTAGTTCGAATTTCGAAATTCGAGACGCGCCGATTCTCGCGGCACGAAGGCGAGAATGAGAACGAAAAAATTGAATGAGAACGCATCGACGCCAATCGTGGCGCGACGAAACGCTTCCACAGCGGGCTGCCGGATGACTGACGAGCGGTATCGCGCCTATTGGCCAGCACTGAAACCGCGACACCTGGCGCCCCGAACTTCGAAACACTTCTAATTCCAAAGACGTGCCATCCGAGAACACCTGTCACTTGAATGCCCGAAACTTCGTAATTTTGGAATAATTCATTGACTTACACGACACAGACCGTTTCAGGAATATTGCTGCAACGTTGATAACATATTAGCAACATTATTAATATATGTATTTGCCCCCTATTGAACCCCATTACATTTGTGTAAATATATTTCAATTTTGCGCTATTTTATAGTGCTACAAACTCCATTTTATATAATAATGTATTATGTTTAATAATTTGTACTCGCTGCAAATGTTATATGCGTCAAGGAGTTAAAACTCAATGTAAATATACAAATGACGTAGTAAGTTAGGTTAAATGGATGAACGCGAATAGCGCAATGAAATTTTCTGACTATGTAGTTAAAATTCTCGTGCTACATTTTACAGTACGAGACACGTAGGTATACTGTAGAACGATGACATAAGTTTGTACTTTGCTTCGCGACGAAATACGTTACAAGCTCTTATGTAACTAGTACGTAGGCATTAGATTCTAGCGTGAGAATTAAATTGCTCGAACAGCTTTGGAAGTATTTTACGCGGAACATTTAAAGTTTTGTGTGGAATGTAAAAATGAAACTAAAATCTTGCCAACAAGCTAACAAAATATGGAATGAATTCACGTAAAGTTAAATACGTTTTTTCTAATGACTTTCATCGATTAAATTTAATTTTTCAAACAAGTTCAAGTGCTTTTCAAAATTATTGAACCAGAGATGTATGTCTATATGTATGAATCGAACATAATTAATTACTTGTGAAGTTCTTATTGCAACTCTAGCAATTTCTAAAAACTACACAGAATGACTAGTTTTAAATTCTAGCGAGTACTTGTTGCACTTAAGCACTAAACAATGCAATGATACGTCAAAAACAGATACTAAATTAATATTTAAAGGGACAGAATAACTCGTATGATATCCAGCAGGTGTCAGTAGCGACGTGTGTAACGAAAGCAGCGAGAAAGAATAAATGACGTTCGGAAATCAAATAAGAAAGAAACATCGTATCGTGTAGTCTCTACCCACATTGGCAAAGTATTATCATTGGCATTTATGTAGTTTACAGTGTTCGTTACAAAACTTTTGTTTCATTTTTTCGATTCAATATCAAACAGCGCGTTTATCGTTGTAACACCGCAACGCATCTGACGGATAACGTGAAGTCGGTAGCGTCATTTTCGTTTCTTTCGCACAGCTGATATCTGTAGTGAAAGGATGTTTATGCAAACAAATAAGTCAAACGACTTTCAGTATTATTAATTCAAATTGAATTGAAACATATTAACCGGCGTTTGCAAAGGCTTTGCCAATCAATCGAAATGGAGTCGGCGGGACAGGGTCAGGTACAAAATTCCTCGAATAATACCGATAATTCTGAAAACAAGGGAAGGTGAGGTTCTATATTATATGAAATTAATTTATTTTACTTTACTTAATTTTTATCGATTTTGCAGTATATTTGAAAGTTTTAATTGTACGATTTACACAATATCGATAATTAATAAACATATATGCTTTGTTTCCTTTCAGTTGCTTGCTACTTCGATATGCTAGTCAGAATTCTTTGGATGAGAGTTCGCAGAAACATGTACCCCGAGAAAGTGGAAGGGACAAACCACCTTATAGAAATCATCATCATACAAATCAGGCCTTTGATGTTATCAATGAAATGCGAAAGTATGAAATGAAAGATATAACTCTTTTGTTATCTTGTAAATATCTTATTTTATTTTAAAATGAAAAATTATTCTGTCACGAATATGTAACGTGTACATGTCCAAAACAGAGAGAACTGTGTTACTAGTCTCTTTTTGGATCATCTAGATTAATAATGTTAATGTTAGAAATATGATATTAAGTAAAGTAATCGTTCAACAGGAAAAATTTGTTGTGCGACGTAATTTTGGTAGCGGATGGAGGTATGGAAGTACCTGCGCATAAAATGGTTCTTGCTGCCTGTAGTCCTTATTTTTATGCTATGTTTACAAGTTTTGAAGAACGAGATCAAGAAAGAATAACATTGCAAGGTGTAGATTACTCTGCACTAGAGTTACTGGTAGATTATGTATATTCTGCAGAAGTACATGTGACCGAAGATAATGTACAAGTGCTGTTACCTGCAGCAAATCTTTTGCAATTGACTGACGTACGTGATGCGTGTTGTGACTTTTTGCAAGCTCAGTTACACCCATCAAATTGCCTAGGAATTCGTGCATTTGCCGATCTCCATGGTTGTTTAGAATTGTTGTCACACGCGGATAGTTACATAGAACAACATTTTTCGTAAGCCAAGACATTTTTATCTCTATTCGTCGATATATTTGTCTTGATAGTAAAAGTTTTATTATTAAATATAGGGAAGTGGTGGATGGCGATGAATTTTTAACATTAGCACCACAGCAAGTTGCCAAATTAATTTGCAGTGATCGTTTAATGGTACCCTCGGAAGAAAAAGTATTTGAATGTGTGATATCTTGGGTACATCATGATTTGGAGAAGAGACAAGCTCATTTAGCTCAGTTAATGGAACATGTGCGTTTACCTTTGCTATCGCAGGAATATTTAGTACAACGTGTGGAAGAAGAACCGCTTCTTAAAGCAAACTTACAATGTAAATGATCAAACATATGCCCTTATATGTCATATGTGTGCCATGATTTAACGTAAGAGAATTAAAAATGGTATTTCTGTTAATAATATATCCAGGTAAGGATTTCTTGATCGAAGCTCTGAAGTATCATTTACTTAAAGGAGAACAAAAGTCATTGTTTAAAACACCTCGTACAAAACCTAGACAACCAAGGGGATTACCTAAAGTGTTGTTAGTGGTTGGTGGACAAGCACCAAAAGCAATTAGAAGCGTCGAATGTTACGATTTTAAGGAAGAAAAATGGTACCAGGTATCGGAATTACCTACGCGTCGTTGTAGAGCTGGTGAGTAATACTCGCATTTTCAATTAAACTATTATAACATACAACTATGCATTACATAGCATTATGTTATATTCTAAAGGTTTATCCGTCCTTGCTGGACGAGTGTATGCTGTTGGTGGATTTAATGGATCTCTCAGAGTACGTACAGTCGACATATACGACGCAGCTACCGATCAGTGGTCACCTTGTCCAGAAATGGAAGCAAGAAGATCCACGCTTGGTGTGGCTGTTCTTGGAAATTGCATTTACGCGGTACGTTTGATATTATAAAACTTTATTTTCTTCTATAATTTTATCGTTAAATATTTACGTATGAAAAATAGGTCGGTGGATTCGACGGTTCAACTGGTCTAAATTCTGCCGAAGTGTACGATCCAAGGACTCACGAATGGAGAGTAATAGCTCCGATGTCGACGCGTAGAAGTAGCGTTGGTGTCGGTGTCGTTAAAGGATTACTATACGCGGTAAGCTTGATAATATAATTTCTAAAAATTTTGAGAATCTACAGACAATATTGTTCGAAGGTCCCGGGTGTGAACCGTAGTAGTACGTTATCAGATAAACTAATCTCTGATAAAGCTGGTCGGAGTGTTGGTAAAATAAAAATTACACCCGGAAACGTGATATAATATTAATTTGAAATTCCCAGGCTGTAAAAATCTGGAATATCTTGAAAAATTTATATTGCGATGTTCAAAATATAAAACTGTGTCTCTACAGGTTGGCGGTTACGACGGAGCATCGCGACAATGTCTTTCCAGCGTCGAGTGTTACAATCCGGAGAAAGATCAATGGAAACCAGTACCTGATATGTCTGCACGTCGCAGCGGCGCCGGTGTTGGCGTTTTGGATGGGATTCTGTATGCTGTGGGAGGTCATGATGGTCCTTTGGTTAGGAAAAGTGTGGAAGCTTTTAATCCAGATAGCAATCAATGGAGTCCGGTCAACGACATGGCTCTTTGCCGCAGAAATGCAGGTAACTAATTGTGTTTTTATTTAAAATTCAACCGTCACGTCTGAAAATGCAATTATTTTCTCTCGTAGTCAATTATTACGATTTTATTTCCGTTCGAATAGTACGACAGTTATTCTATTTATTCGTGATATAATGTATGTAACCTACCGAATATGCGAAATCATCCAAAGGAATATGAATCGAAAAGTCCGTTACCATTTTGCTATTCGGAATTTAGTGTTCGAGATATCGATAGTTGAAATTCATAGATCCGACTTTCGGGCGCGCTGTTTAAATCTCAATTAAAGCACGCGTCCACATATCGCGACACGTGAATGCACATTGGTGAAAGCATAGGTGCGTAGTGGATACATAACCTATTGTGCACTCGTTGGAGCGTTAAGATCCTGCATATTAAAGAATGCAGTTACTGTGATTTGTAAATTGTAAAGGAGATAAATATTTTCTTGATAGGCGTTGTCGCGCTAAATGGACTTCTGTACGTGGTGGGGGGCGACGACGGTGTGTCGAGTCTGGCATCCGTCGAAGTGTATTCGCCGAGGACCGACACCTGGACGACGCTTCAAACTTGCATGGGAATTGGCCGTAGCTATGCTGGGGTAGCGATAATCGACAAGCCAATGCCGTCTACGACATCGATGTGAGGATTGCAATCCGCTGGGCATGTGACGGAGCAGAACACGGACCCGAGTGCCGAGACGTCGGATCAAACACGGGAATCCGGGCCCAGCGGTGTGCAAGTCCAGAATCAAGATCAGAATATGCTTCAGCAATATCGCGGCGTTGGTCACAATTGTCAAGGGCCGCGTTGCGTGTGCCAAAGGTACGAGAACGGAGAGCTGGCAGCCGTGGTCATGAATCAAAACAGAAGCAACCAAGAGAGGGACGACAGTTATCAGAACGTGAGCCGTGGTTCGCGGGCCTTTCAAAATCGACTCGGTGGCTCGGTACAGGTGTACCCTAACCTAAATCCAAATTATCAAAATCCGGTGGACATCGTTCGTAATTATAATCGGAACCGACAACCGCAAGAGCCCGAGGAAAATATTTACGAGAGATTGGACAACGACGACGACGACGAGAACGCGGACAACCGGGAAGTTGGTCGCAACGAGCCCGTGGCACAGAATCAGAACAACCTAGGCGACCACACGTACGAGAGAATAGACGATCGTTATTCTTGCGCCAACAGAATGTATTCTCGTTGCTACAAATATCATATTTTGAATCACATCGCCGTGCCGAATTTCTTGAACGACGTGGAGCCCAGAAGCTCGAATCAATACGATCAACCGAGGCAAATATATCTGGACTCGTCCCGATTGTCCAGTCAATTCTGTCAGAATCGGTTGGGCAGACTGGGCCGCAACTGTTTCTCCACCGAAAACATTGCTTATGCGTCCACCGGACGTACCGTTTACCCGCTTGGTTACAGTTGCATGTGTTCGTTCTGCAGACACTTGGACAGTAGGTATTTGTGCCAACATTGCCATAATCTACACAACCGACTACGCTATCAGGATGGACTGGCTGGCAATTCTAGACATTATATATATCAGTTGCCGAGGAACTGCAGGTGCCCCTTTTGTCGCGGTGAATACTCCTACGTGAAACTGCCCGTTACTTCCTGTCGATCTGCCGAACCCTGGAGGATGGAATGCCACTGTAGAAATCCTAGCAATTGTTCTTGCAGATGCAAGGTTCTGGCCAACTGTAATTCTACCACCCAAGTCGGTAGATATCTCGATTGGATCAACAGATCTGGACCGTCGGTTAACAATCCGCTTTACGCTACAATCCACATTGGCAGACCTTGTGTCTCGGCTCTTGGGAATGCGGCCAACGGAGGAAACAGCGTGGAACCTGGTGCTTCCACGTCGAACGCGTCTGCGTCTGCGTCTGCGTCCGTAGCCAACGAGCCTGGTACGTCCTCGAACGTCAGACCGATGTTCTCCCCGAACAATCCTTCCACTTCGCGCGCTTCCGTTTGCTCTGCTAATCGCGCCACCGAGCGACAACACACGTGCGACGATTCGTGCATCAGAAACCAGAGCGGAAGCGTGGCTGGCATTTGCCAGTTTTTCGGCAGGTGCGAGAGAGCGGAATGCAACCACAGCAGACTATCCGTGCACTGGTGGGTCGTCAACAAATGGTTGCCATCTTGGAATCCTAATAATTTTGACAGGAATATGGACGCCGTTCCCGCGATGGAAGAAGAATCCCGTAACCAGCACGATAGTGATAGCGACGAAGCTTAAACTCGAGGGGGTTTAACCTAACCTAAATGCAGTCATCAGATATCGATGTTTTATTATTCGAACGCCAATGATATTTCTGTATCGAGACTCTTTGAACAATACTGGACTCAATATCCGTGTCCCTTTATTTTTAACGAAAATACGATAATAAAATTGTTGCAATTTGTGATATTTGATAAAATAATATATACTTCTCCATACGCGATAGACAAGTTGTATCGACGATACTACGTTGAATTGTTTGTTTTTTTTTTATATAACGACGAATATATATAGTTTCTTACGGAATGAATTGAAAATCGACAGACAAATAATTTCTGAGCCCCGATGAGATTGAAACGATTTTTTTAGAGGCATCGTAAATATTTAAGAAGAGTTCGTGCATGTATTGACAATAAGATCGCTTTATATGTGCTCTGATATTCACAGATATAATATACTTGAAGGTTAAATAAACACGAATTACGGTCATACGTTTGTAAGTATGGTTTCGATTAAGCGTACGAATAATTTAATACTTCGAAGAAACTTAGAAACTATTTGAACTAATGATTTTTTTATTCTTTTACAATAATTATCGATTGTTTTAATATACGGTACGAAAAGTCGCCAATTTATCCTGTTAATTATCGTTATAAGAGACTACGTGTATCATAGACTAACTTTAGGAGATGTGTGTTCTATCGAATAACAATATAAGATGTATAGAAATTGTAATTTTTATAATTCATCACTGATTCATCATTGTTTCTAGCATATTTTTGCAATTTTAGTAATAAAGATCTCTAAACAAGATAAAAGATAAATATGTTTTTTTACAAAATAGTTGCATGACAAATATTAAAAGCAGTATTCGTCGGTTTTACGAAACGTTTGAGATTTATCATTTTTTTTAACAGCGATTGTGTATATATCGAATTACGACAAGTTTTCGTTCAAAACGTGTTAATTATTGTAAATACAAGTTAGTAGCAACTATCCTTTGTGAACGACATTAAATACTACTATCGGTTCAAAATGAACTGACCGCTTAAGGTCACCAAGGACTTCGAACCCCATCTTTCCAAATTGAGAGTCAAAATAACGTTCTTGAGTGGTCGATTGATTTTGACACGAGTATAGCAACCACGCTCCATTCATGCACGCGATTCACGTCGCGGAGAACGAAATACAATGTTAACTTGTAATATTTAAACACTGTGCGTGTATACTATTAGTCAGTATTAAATTGTCCTTATAATGTTTCGGCTCGTAGATAGAATATTTCATTTTTCTACAATTCTAATCTCGAACTCATGAATTGTACAAATATATAATGATCTTTGTTCCGATCGATAATTTAAATAGACTCGGTTGTTTGAAGCGAAGCGTAGTGCTCGAACTTATAAGGACAGATACGAACATATCCTTACACACGTTATGACTTAGGAATTAATCCGTACGTAAGATTTACGACAGAACGGAATGTTTCGAGCCACCTGTCTAAATTCTAAGAAGGCATGCGTTAGGCTAGTTCGATGGAACTCGATGGATTTGCGAAATGTATATTTATTTTTTGTATTTACTAGTTCGTATTATATACACTCTGAACAATGTTCAACCGAATAAAAAAATGTTACCGTAGAGGATCTTATGCAAAGATTGTCCTTTTTTCCAGACGACTCGAGTATCGAGATTTTAATCAGAGGCATCGTTGTCTTCGTGTTTCACTTAGACTGTGTAGCCATTTTGTCGGATATTTCCGGGCGGTCTTCGTCTGTAAGAATTTCTATAAATACAAAAATTCCCAAGTGTTACTTATTTACATGTTTTATTTCTCACGGGTTTACGAGTTGTGATTATTTTTATGACCCGAAACGTTGAATAAAAATGCCCGTTAATCCGTCGGTATTAGCTGATAATAATTTATTAGCACGTAAATGGCGGGCTTTGTGTCGGTTTCGAGCCGCAACACAATTATGTACCTCGTAACGCTTTTGCAAGAGGAAATGCCTCTACTATCGATACACTTATGCCCACTTTGAGAAAAGTTGATCACTCCCCCATGAGCGAAGGCCAACAGCTATCACTTTGGTGGTATAATGGCCCTAATATCAGCATGTTGTTGCAGTGCACACATTCGTGTCGTTAAATCTCTGTACTATCTTTCTATCGAGTCTATTAATAATTCTTTGTCTTTTGTCTTTCTACTATACGCGTTGTTTTTTAACGTGGCATTTTCCAAATGTTTCAAAACAGAGTATCGTGATCGTTAAGGTGCAATGAAATAATTGCGTATGGGAAAAGTGTATCACCGACCGGAAGTGAAAGTAATGTCATTGCTCAGTGATGCAAAAGATGAGGCTAAGTAACTGAAACGCGTGAGAAAAGAAAACGGTTATGCCACTGAATATTAAAAGCACAAACATTATACACGATGCGCAAATTTTTATTTCTGTGTTACGTTCGAATATTTTTGTAACAATTGGGTAGGATCTTTAACCCTTTGCACTCGAAGTTTTTTTTCATTCATATTACCAGCAACTCGAAGCAATTTTAGTGAAAAGATCATATTTACATAATAAATAAGTGATATGCGCATTAAAAGAAAAGTCATCGTTGTATGTTATTATTTTTTTAATTAATTATAGATACAAATGTTATGATATATAAAAAAACAAAAAATTATAAAATTATTATTATTATTTGTCTTTCTCCTTATGTTATGAACTGAAAATTATTTGCATTGTCTCCATAGTGGAGTCCTCGAGTTTGAAGACTTTTAAATGGCTCCGCTCCGGAGCCCTCGAGTGCAAAGGGTTAATCTTTGATAGAGTATTATTATGTTAAATTAGCTGATCAAGTTTTGCACATATTATATAATAAAAATAAATAAACGGTCAGTATTATGATAAACATTTGAATCTAGTAATAGTTTGATTTTGTAAAGTTATATTATATTTAAGAGAAATTTATAAAAATTCTATTACGTTTCAGTAAATGAAATGATATAATATTGATTATTAATGATGTTTTTAGTGCAGGTGTGGTGACTCGCGAATAAATTGTGACTCCTTCTTCTACTTTCCTGTTCCGTTCAAGCGGTGATATTAACATGGAACATGATGGCGGAAGAATCGTTTGGCTGGTAGTGGGGGAATGTGGCTTCCGGTGGAGAAGTTATTCACCCCTTTGTTAAGGGAAGAAACCGCTGTGACGGATTGAAAAAATTGAAATTCTTTTTTTATCTCTTTTCAATGCTTGGGGTTTTAACCCTTTGCACTCTGAATTATATTTGAATTTTGTTACCAGCAGCTCCCAACGCTTTTGAGTGTTTCATTTGAAAATGTTAACTAAAAAGTAGGGCAGTTTAAACAAATAAAGGAACAAACAAATTCAATTAAATATCTGTTTTATTTACACTATCGTTATATTTTGTAATTTTCAAGTGTGTGATATCTCTTTGGTTTGGACCTGAAAAAATGTCGAGTGGAACTCGACAAAGGAGTGCAAAGGGTTATGAACGAGGCCCTAAAATATTAAAGAAAAATTCGCAAAAATGACAAAGTTTCCCCCAAGAGGTCGATGACGTTTAGAAAATTTAGAGTTAGAAAAATAGTTTGTGTATAGTCCAATGCTCGAGTACACGTTGAAAAACAAACGGTTAAAAAAATGAACCCTCTTTTCAATGCTTGGGATTTTAAGAACGAGGCCCTAAAATATTAAAAAAAAATTCGCAAAAATGACATAGTTTCCCCCAAAAGGTTGATGACGTTTAGAAAATTTAGAAAAATAGTTTGTATATAGGACAATGCTCGAATACACGTTGAGAAAGGAACGGTTAAAAAAAAGAACCCTCTTTTCAATGCTTAGGGGTTTAAGAACGAGCCCCTAAAATATTAAAGAAAAATTCGCAAAAATGACAAAGTTTCCCCCAAGAGGTCGATGACGTTTTGAAAAATAGTTTGTATATAGGCCAATGCTCGAATACACATTGAGAAACAAACGGTTAAAAAACTGAACCCTTATCTCTTCGTTGGTTACGTGTCCCCATAATGCTGTATATTTATGAACACTAGATCCACAAACGTGCAGAGCTTCAATAAAATCGGTGACCCGAAGGCCTTGCTCTCTCCTTGTTAGCACGGGTTGGCGTTAGAAATACTTTGGGAACGCGCATATTTGCTCGAAAACGAGTTTGCCACGGCCATCCTCGGGACGATTGTCTTTTCGCGCGCCGACAACGAACACGACCCGCAGGAACGACAAATATTTCACGTTGTTGCACGAGCAATGTAAATGCTGGAGCGACGATAAACGCCATTGTGTTCCCGCCGCCGCAAAGTACCAGCACACGTTCGTAGGAACTTATCTTGACACCGCGGGTATTCAAGTATCACGGGCGTGGTCCTCACGGCCAGATACACTCGCGAGAATTACGAACCTTACTTCGCTGGTTTTGTCGAATTTATTCCGCGTGTATTCCTTTTTTCAGCGATAGGAGTTCAACGTGCGAATATATACATTTATAAAAAGCAACAAGAAATTTAGTTCTACCTTAGCTACGTTTGCACACCTTTTAAACCCAACGACTTAATTTTGTATTTAGTTGCATCGTTCAGTATAGTTGATATTTATAATACTATTAGGAATTTTAAGACATCGAAGTTGCCTGTCCTCGTACGTGCATGGAAAAACAGACGACGGAGGAATGAGCTTTTGATGCACGGAGATGTACACGCACGCACTTCGAAGAGCAAATTTACCGGATCAAATATTTATCGATCGTGTTGTTTGGAAAGGGTAGAAAGCGAATAAAGTTCATCGAGCGCGTCTACGATCGAACACTGTACTTCCTGTACCGCGGACGTTTGATATTTGCAGCAAAAAGGACGCAGAACATTGTTGCGTCAGAATCGCTAATTTATTATGATCGATGGCCGGAACGATACTCGAAGTATGTGGGCGTTGGTCCTGTGCTTGTCACCTTCGAATTCCGATCGGTTTGAAATAGACGAAAAAAAAAAAATACTTGAACGATTTACTATGAATAGACGCAAACAAAGGAGAAAATAACAGAATGGTAGCCGGAGGATCGATCGTGGCTGTCCGTGTACGGTTCAACGGAAGTTGATGGCCGTTGACGCGTTGACCGCCACAACGTTTTTTTTCACGAAGTCCCTACGGCGCCACACTATTATTTTCTGCTCAACTTTCACAGAATGCTATCGAACTTAGTTTGCTTGCTCGATAAACTTCGGTTCCCTTTAGTACAAAAATGTGAACTTTCAACGTTACCTTTCGCAAAACAATCGTCTATACAACATGGTAGCATTTTGGTTAATTACTTTAATAAAATTAACATTATATATCTTTTTTAGTTGATTGATGAGGATCGAAAATGGGAGTTGTAATAAAACTCGGCGAAACAGTCATATTAAGTACAAAATGGCGAGCGTTATGACCATATCTGTACTCTTTCGCTTTAATTTTTTTATTTCGTATCGTCTAATAAAGTCGATGTATCATTGTTGTGAAATGTAATTCCTTCTTGAAAAATCGTAGAATTGATAACGTTCGGTTTTCGAGCTTTCTTTTGGCCAATACTGTATATCGCACGGCAGTATTCCTTTCATCCGCGAATCGGCGATCGCGGGATGGAA